TTTATACAAGAAAATTACTTTGTTCTAACAGTTAATATGCTCTTACTTGTCCAACAGTGTGAAAGTTCGAACCTCGCAAATTTTTTTTTTAATTTTACAAAGTTTGACGTCATTTTGATAATTAATGGATGACTAACATCTTTGATGGTAAATATAAATATATACAAGCACAATTTTGAGAGTTCATGTGATATTTTTTAATTTTACAGAATTTACCCAAAATGACGTCGTTTTGATAATTAACGCATGAATAATATTTTCTACGGTCAGTTTATATATAAGCACGATTTTGAGAGTTCATGTAGTATTTTGAATTTTTGTTAAGTTCAGTATAGAATATGCACTACTATAAAGTTCAGGAATGAAAAGGCACAACACATAAAGTTCATGTAGTATTTTTATATTTTTGATTAGTTCAGTAAGGAATACGCATTACTACAAAGTTCGGGAAGGAATAGGCACGACATATAAAGTTCAGGTTGAAATAGGCACTTTTCCCTCTTTTTGCCTCAGTCGATATGTCACCCTATGCATCATATGCGTCACTCTATGCACTCATGCATCATATAATAACTATTATTCCTGATTTGATTATCAATATTTTTAACCCATATTCGTGAATACATTAGGCTCTAGTCGGACGATGGATATGGAGCTAGCGATTTACGAAAAAATGAAAAGTAATCGAAGATTAATTGGGGAGTTGTTTAGACTAGTTTTTTTTTACATTTAAATTATTTGTACATATTAATGACTCTTTAGTTAAAACTATTGAAATTGTTGTGGTTAGTGGGTTTGATTTAGTTTGTCACAGCCCAAGTTCAAGTTAAATGCAACATTTTTGGGTCTTCTTATTGATTTTTTTTAAGAGTGTTGTAATGGTAATTATGTCATCATCTTCCGTACGAGTCTGAATTTTCTATTTATTTGTGCATATCATTCATGATCATCTTGCAGCTCGCTTGTTTGTAAGTGCTACTTTTCTCTTTTTCAAAACTAGATTCTGAGTTTCTAACCATTGATGTTTTATCAAAGATAACATTCATGTTTATAACCACTCGGTTTTCTGATGGAGACCAGATCCTGTAGCCCTTGACTCCATCACTGTGGCCAAATACTCCCTTCCTTTGCTATCGGTTCTAGTTTACTTTTACTCACATGATAGTAAACGATATAACCAAACACTCTTAGAAGTGAATAACCAGCAGATCTACATGAACCACACATCAGAAGGTATCATGCACTCGATGCATGTGTGGGGACTGAGGTTTAGCAAGTCGTGTTAACTGCTTCAGCCTAAAACCGCTTATCCAGAACAGCATTCGAGAGTGCACACCTTGCTCTCTTTAGTAATGTCTGGTTCATCCGTTTTGCTACACCATTCGGTTTTGGTGTTTTTTTGTCTGTAAGATAGCAATCCCTGCATCTTTACAAAACTGATTGAATTCTGTCGAGCAGAATTTCAGACCCTTATTAGTACGAAGCCGCTTCACCTTCTTCTATGTTTGATTCTCCACCAATGTTTTCCATTCCTTAAAGCTACTGAACGGTTCACTTTGGTGCTCCATAAATGTTATCCAAGTCTTCCTCGAATAATCATCAAGTGGAGACACAAAATATTTGTGATCCTTCAGTGAATCACTCTGGATGGATGGATGTAATTTAGTGTGCCTTTTGTTTTATGAATTGCCTTGCGAAAGCTCTTTTGATGCAGCTTCCAAAAACGCAATGCTCACAGCAATCTGGACTCTTGGTCTTGTGACCACAAAGAATACCTTGCTTGACAGAAGTTGCGTCTCATGTTCACTCATATATCCAAGTCTCATATGCCACAGCTTAGTCATATCTTCCTCTGTGATCTCTAGTGATGCAACATTTGCTATCAGTAACGGTAGTACCTTTAGAAAATACATCGTACCGTTCATGAAACTTTTTAGAATCACATTAGCATCTTTGTAGACATTCAAAACTCCATCATCACCAGAATATTTGAGCCCTCTACTGTCTAGGATACTCACGGATATCATCACCAGAATATCTGAACCCTCTAACCTCGTTCAAAGTGTAGAATCTACCATCGTGTGTCCTAAGCTTGCCATCTTATTCTTCCCGTCAAGTGCTTTTGTATACTGTGAAAACCATTCTGTCCTCGGTGTCATATGGTAGGATGCTTCAGTATCCAGTGGTTTAGAATTTCCTGGGAACGACTTCTTGTTTTTTTATTTCCTTTTGTTTCCATGTCCATTCACACCACTAACAAACAACCTCTTAACTTAATTATCTTTCCCTGAGTTGAATGCCTTATGACGTAATTCCCGACTATGAGATGCCGATTTAACTTCTTCCAGTTTCACCATATCTTTGCCAATTGTACGAAGTTGAGTTTAACAGAGATACCAACATGATTAGTACATCATCTTCATCCTCCACCTTAACATCAATGTTACGCAGTTTCTTTAATATCAAATTTAACTTGTCAAGATAGTTGCGAAGCTCAATATATTATTGCATATGCACGACAAAGAGCAGTGCTTCAAAAGTAGCTTATTCATTAGTAATTTTATTATGTAAAAACTCTTCAACTTCTGCCACAAACTTACAATTATTTTCTCATCGAACATGATATCATTTGGTAGACACAACAAAATTGTTAAGAATATCTTATTTTCTATAGTCTTCTCCAAATCAATTCTTTTCTATAGTCTTCTCCAAATCAGCAACATCAGATTTTCTTTTGACAATGGTTCCTAAAGGTCTTGTTGCTTCAACAATGCATGCATCTTAAATTGCCAAAGACTAAAGTTTTCTTTGGCTAGCGAAAATACTTTCTAAAAACTAAATCCTTTTATAATTATTTGGTTTTAGATTTAATTATAAAAACTAGATTTTGACCCGTGCGTCCGCCCGGGTAACTGTTTACTTTAAAAAAAAAGTAAGATTGTTAGAATATTGCTTTTAGATATTTAGGCAAACTAAATTATATGCATTATTTCATTAGTTGGACCCGTTTGTATGAATGGTTCAACCGTTGACTCTTTTGTTTAATTGGGTAAATGTTGTTCCTAAACAATTTTCTGTTGAACAAATAAAATTGACCGATAACCAATAAGATCGTTAGTACTAATTATTCAATTTGATTGAAAAACTCGGCTTCAAGTTCAATTATTTTTCTTTTGAAGTTAGTAAATCATATATAATTTTTTTTCTCTTTCAGTGTGCATTTATTTAGTTAGATATATTATTAGAATGGATACGATGATAAATAACATGAAGAGGAAAATATTTTGTATACATGATTCAAAAAATGTTAAAAGAAATGTTTTGTATGAAGATGTAAAATGAAAATGAAGAAGAAACATGGATAGGTGGATGGTGGTTATATCAAGAAAACAAAATTATTCACTATTATTAATTTTCAAATATTCTAATACTATAAATTGTAGAAATAGTAAAG